CAGGACTAGCTGGTGGAGGACTACTGCCTCCACCCGCACTATTCATACGCTCGGTTGCACCATGTTCCAAAACAAGATAGGGACTAAATCGAATTGCATTTGGCGGCTCTAATATACCGAGATGAGACAAAGAATTTGCCCTGATTTTTAAAAAACACTCAAAAATCTGCAATGTAAATACATTGCAGATATAATTGTATATTTTTATTTCTATATATCTATGTTTCTCAGTTTATATTTTAATAACAATATAATTACTAAATAACGTGTTGTCGACACATCATGGAAGACGGACGGTTCTTTGTAGTGTTGTTCGAGATGATTCACTAAAATCTTGTAAGCATAAATCGCATGACTCGACGGCAAGCGATAAATCTTGGAAGTAAATATCTTTATAACTCCAACAACAGCAGTTTTTACATCCTTGATATCAGCATCCATAGAAACTGGTGTATCTGATGTAAAAGGCTTGTTGATTATCTAAATGAACAAAAAACATTTTAAAAATATATGTATGTTTTTCTTCTAGCTATTATTATGTACAATTTTATTACCTTTTATGTTTATGTATAATTTTATTATATATATAATATTTATATAATTTTATATATTATAATTATATATATATATAATTATATTATTATATTTTATATAATTCATATAATTTTATATACTTTTATTATAAATATTTATATATGTATATAATTTTATAATATATATATATATATATATATATATATATATATATTATAATATTATATTTATAATATATATATAATTTTTTTTACCTTTTCCAATATGTCCAAAAGTTCTATACATCGTTTAGTATCACATTCCAAACAAAGATCTATTAATAAATTTGCTGTAACTGTACGTATTGTAATATCTGGATCTATATCCACATGTTGAGTATGTGGTACAACAATTCGTTCGATAAGTTCATCTTCGTATCTGGATCTATTGAGCATATATTTATAAAACATATATATATATATATATATGTGTGTGTGTGTGTGTGTGTGTGTGTGTGTGTGTGTGTGTGTGTGTGTTTATACAAATATGTTTTTAAATTAAAATTGGAAATAATAAAAAGATGTAATTTATATCAATTCCTATTTTATATCAATTCCTAATTTATATCACAATACCTATTAATGCGAATAACATTGGTCAGGACATCAAGAACCTTCATTCTAATTGTTGTTCGTGTTTCGTTTTTGTAATAACGTTCCATCAAGGATCCTAATTTGGCCTGCCATTGGTAATATGTAGGACCTATCGTAGACGCTCTGTATTCAATTAATTTTAATACAGATCCTTCCTGAAAACAAAAACCATTAAATATTATACAAATATTTTTTTTACATACATTTATTAACTTACAGGTCGAGAATCGCTGCAACGTTCAACGAGATCATAAAAGCGTGGAATGCAACCATTATAATTATTTGCATCAAGTAAGCTTTCAATATTGGTAATCGTTTCATGTAAACTTATGGAAACTTGTTTAGTTGCTGGTTGATTACTGGTTTCTAGAATATGTAAAAAAGCATATTATTATATTGTAATTTTTAATGCTCTTTGTGGAATAACTATATATCAATAAATCTTACCGGTATGAATAATAATTTGTTCTATGATATCAAGAATAATGCTCCATGTAGGATCCCACAATTCATTACCAAATTTGTTCACTAATCTTTGTATTGATAGGGTAACTTCATACATAACAATTGGATGATTGCACTGTAGAGCCTGGCAAATGAGTAAATAAGTTATAAATATCTTGTCTCAAATAGCATTATAATCATAGGATGTCCATTCAAATTTTGAAAAAAAATTCTCTGATTTTTTACATTTTTTTATTCAAAATTCCAGGTAAAGAGAATTTTCTTAGACTTTTTTTAGATGCAACTTTCTAAAATAAGATTCTTTATTCTAAACGTTTTCTAATGCTTCTCACTTATATGAAGGAAAGACTTAAGTTTCAAGTAGACTTGAAAATGTATTGAAAAAAAATTAAATAGCATGCCTTTTATAAGAGAAACATTTTACTTGCTAAACATTTCTTATTATTAATAATTACAATAAAAAATATGTACTACACATTCTGATATATTTTGTTAAGACACTGAATGTAAACAAAAATAGATATACATTTTAAATACATATAACTCACAACTTGATCAATTGATAAATTATATGATATAAGAGCAAAATTATCAAAAAATGTGTGAATAGTTTTTTAAATATTCTCTGAATTTCAATAAAATTTTATAACTATTCTTTGATTTTTTCAGGTACAAAAAATGCCTGAAAATCCCAGAACCCGTGTATTTCCAGAAAATAGACATTCTATCAATTTTCAATACATACCTGATAAAATGAAGGCAAAACAGATGCTGGCGTGCATTCTAATTTTGGTATCCTATGTGCACCCCATAAACCCATATTTACATAAAATACCGCTCCTCGAAGTAAACGAACGTCACGTTGAAAATTTACATCTTGTAACAACCGACACATAGTATATAAAGCACAATGACCCATGTGTGTCCCTAATAAATTCCGCATAATCTGTAAAAATATATTAAAAACTAAATAAAAAAGAATACATTATATTATGATTTACATCTTTCATTCACAAATTATTGTACAGGAAATTGATTTCAAATTTGTTAAAATTCTATTAAAACAAAAATTTTTAATTTATAATTTATTATTAAAATAAAACCATGCATATGTGTATATATTGTATATGTAATTATATAATTTGTAGAGATGATTAGCATTTTCTCTCCCTTATTTTAAGAGAGAGAATTAAGTTTAATTAATAAAAAAAAAGAAATTTAAATATATTATATTTTTATCATTATTTGTACCTTCCAACTTGTTTGGCAATAGGTCTCAACATTTACACTTCTGCATAAGGCTATAATAAACGTTTGCAATGAGTCTGACTGCAAATTGCTATAACACATAATTGCATCCAAGGCTTCCAAGCATCCAGAAACAACTTCAGTATTATTACTATAGTAACACAAATGGGAAATATACCTGAAAGAAATAATGATGACAAATTGTCTCATTGAATAATTTAATCTAATGAAAAATATCACTTGTAAAATATTTACTGAACAAGACCAGATACAATATCTTCATCGATGTAAGCCGAATTAAATTTGATAACATTTACAAGAAGAGATAAGAACTCAGCTCCTCTTTTCCCATCTCCCGCTGTTACTGTAGGCATCCATTCTAACAGAAAAGGTCCCATTCTTTCTTCTAAATGTAAAATATCTTTCCCATGTTCTGTTAACGTTTGTAGCAATTCCAATCTGAAATATTTAAACATACAATAGTATACGATAGACACAAGAATTTAAGAAATAGAATTCATGAAATATTTTTTTTTTCTTTCAACTTATCGCAATACCTAGGACCAATGTCTTCAGGTATATCATACTCCTTCACCACCATAAAAAATTTGACACGCATCAATGATGAGAGTTTCGAGTATTGTCCTTGTACGAGGCATTTCAGGAAATTTAACGTTAAATGCCTGTATTCACGAGGAACGTCTTTTGCGAGTAAATCTTGAACCAAGTTCCATAGACGTTCTGCTGCTCTCTATTAAGAATAGTAGAGCAAGTTAGACATATAAGACACCATTATCTTAATTAACATCTCTACTCCTGAGTAAAGTATTTGCAGGAATAACGTGATATAATTTTTTTACACATATACACATATACACATATACACATACATCTTCCCACTGTTGATTGAGTACTGCATCGGAAAGCTCCTTGATCGCCTTCGTTCGATGATGCACCGGGCTATCTGGACTAATTTCCTTCTCGATATCGTGGGTCAAAGTGAAATCCTCGCGACTCTTGTAATTTCCTGCGATGCCGGTGCGATTATTAATGTATCTGATGCGACAAAAGTAGGCGAAAAGAGAGATATATGTATGAGACATGTAAAATACCTTTATTTATACGAAAGAACTGCTTCAGTTTGTCAAGCGTCTTATTATCCTTGTCCTTCGAATTCATTTTTGACATCTTAGCGTTTTCCTCGAATTTGAAGAGTTATATTCGCGAAGAGACGCAACCCCAGAAATCGCGCTGAACATGTCAAAAACAGATGTGACTAGCTGCACGGGGGAAACCGGTGATAAACAGTGGCGCCACCTATATTCTCAAAACGCGAGCGCGAACTACGTGGCCCGGTCTCTTATCGGCAGATCCCTACGATATCGGCTGAGGAAAAATCTCCGCCAAAAGATTCGAATCTCCGCTAACCAGAAAAATTAAAATGTAAAAATTATAATTTTGCGTAGCCTTGATTTTTAAAATATACTTTCTTCTTGATTTTAAATGTCTCATAATATAAATTAAAATATAAATATATAATATTATTTTTGAAATATTACTTATAAGAATATTTTTTATTACTACATTTATTAATATTATTTATATAAATATGTAATATATTTATTATTAATATTATATATTTGTATAACACATTTATTGACATTATATATTTAAAATTAAATTTATATAATATTAATATTATATATATTTAAATTTAAATTTATATGATATATTTATTAATATTTAAAATAATTTATATATTTATTATATATTTATTAATATTTAAAATAATTTTCATTTATAAACGATCGCCGTGATTATACAATATTATATTTTTATTTCCATTTTTTTTCGTAATTGATAGTCAATTTTATATACTTGATATTTAAATATAAGAAAAAATAAGGAAATAATTTATAGAAAGAATTTTAACAAGCATGCACGCGGATACAAACAACAGAGTAAATATACTGATGACTAAATATTAATTGGTACATTTTCTCATAAAATTCCAGCATCAACGTCACAAACTTGGCACACATACACGCGCATTTTTTTTCTCAACGTGTATCACATATATATCCATCTATCCCTTCCATCGCCAGATCGTTCGACCTTCTTCTTTGACATCCTCGTCACACTTATATTCCTGACGTCCGTCGTTTTCTCTCGCTCCAACTCTCAAATGCGTCAGAGGAGCAACCGTATGGCTTCCGAGTTGGTCGAGCTAGATTTTAGTATCGCAGTGACTACTGTGGAGAGATTGTGTATCGCAGTGTATTAGTTCTACAAAGTGCGGAAATAAACAGGTGAGTAGTGACCATAATGCCCTTTCATTCTCGCACAAAAGAAGTTTTACGAGATTTCTCATCGACACATTATTGTCATATATGTTAGGTATAAATATATGTATGAAATTAATTCGTTCCCAAGGATAATGGGTCGATATTTTCTAGATATCATGATATATTTTGCGTTACAAGAGAATGCATGTCATCTCATCGCAAGATAATGAAAGGAATCTTAATGAAGCATAGTTTGATGGGCGATCGCAATTAGACATTTTCCTTCGTTGCGCAATTTCTTTCAGCTTTCCCCGTAAACATCGTGGCTTTTCTTTCAAATAATCGATACTCGTAGCAGAAACGATTTACGATATATTTTTGATTTTTAATTTTTTTTGCGATTCTTCCGGCAATAGTGAATATAAAAAAGTCACTGCGAGGTGATCTTGTTATGGGTCTCCCACCTTCGAATGCGATACTGCGTCACTCGATCCAAGGATAGCGATGGTACAAGAATACTAGTGCCAAGTGCCAAATGCGATGTTCGTATTGTCATAAAATTTCTATGATACGAGAAATGTCAACGGCTAAAGTTCATCATCGATCATGATGTTTATATTGGACATAAAGAGACAAGCGAAATATACGACGCCACCACGTGGCTTCTTAATTTCCAAAATTTCCCTAGTTTAATATAGGGTGTTCCGAATTTAAATTACAAAATTTCGAAAGCGCAAGAATCAAGAAATTGATAAATTAAGAAAAAAATAATTTTTTCCTTAATTTATCAATTTTTATTATTAATTTTTATTTATTATTTTTAAAGATTTATTCGTTTTTTTGAAAACTTTGCAAAAAAAACAAAAAGTTTTAATTTTTCACTTATTTTAAATAAAAAAAGTTAAAGATAAAGTTTTAATTTTTCACTTATTTATTCACTTGTTATTCACTTTCTTAATGAAGGTATTGTTCAAAATGTATAAACATAAACAAACTAAATAGAATATAATATTCCCACGTGTCATCTATTTATTTACAATCCTTTAATTTTACTTTTAAAAAATTTTAATTCACATTTTCTTTTCTTAATTCCATATTTTACAACTTTTTTCTCATAATTTTCCATAAACTCAATAATTTTAGTGTGGTTTTACGTTTATTTGCTGAAACTTTTTTATTTGATTTTTTTGTAATTTTCTCTAAAACGAGAAAATTTCTAAAGAATTTTTTTTCTTAATTTATTGATTTCTCACACGATCTCGAAGTTTTAATATTTATATTCAGGACACCTTGTTTACTGCTGTATCGCATCAGCCAGTTCTTAGTCAATAGGAGATATTCGACTGTATAATTCAGGACACCCTGTATATTGCTGTATACTCACACCTGTCGATTCTTTAAAAAATTTCACTGTAGGAAACATTCTACTATATATTGCATATATATCTGTTTTCAATATATATATATATATTGTTATTTTCATATGATATAATAACAAATTGAATTGATAAAAGATTGATTAAACACAATTACATCGATTTTTTTAATCAATTATTATAAATTTCATCATGATATTCTTACAAGATATTTTTATGTCTATTTTACTTTCAGAAAATGTTTTCACGCGTTATGTTCAGTGTCCTTTTCGGGACGTTACTGATAATTGCCATTATTCCAGATACAGCTTCTTACAACAGTAAGTAATAAGTATAAAATATTATTTTACTGAAAAACAATATAATGAATTAAATAATAAAAATTAAATTATACATTTTTTAATAAAAAATAATAATATATTGTAATGAATAATAAATTATAAAATAAATAATAAATTAAAAAATAATAAATTATATTAAAATAATAATATATTTTTTCTTTCTTTTGTTTTAAGAATATGGAAGGACCTGTCAGGATATTGGTTGCCGTAGCGATGAAACGTGCGTAATGGCTGAGGATCCTTGCACTGGCTATTCAGATAAGTGCGGGCGATATCCGACCTGCCAGAGGACAAGTGGTGAGAAATCACGATGTATTAGCTCTGATTAATCTCGACAATTTTGAATCAATTGAAAATATGCGTGTATCATATACGCGCATATATGCAAGAGTAGAAAATATAATTTGCTAGTTACTATTTTATAACTCCTCTTTTTCCAACTTTATAATTCCTCTGATAGAAAATGTAATTTGCACTATTTTATAATTCCTCTTTGTTCAGTATATTAAGAGCCTTAAAGTGCAATTATTAAATGAATTATACGATAATTAAACTTAATATATTATTACTTTATGTATTATTACTTAATGTATTATTACTTAATGTATTATTACTTTATGTACTTTAATTCTGCTATTGTACTCTAATTTAATTAAAGAAACGATCGATATTTTTGAATAAGTTCAGAAAACAGAAATGTATGTTTTTCTCTTAAATTTATATACATATGTGTACTTAAGTCGATAAAAAGAGAAAAAAAATTTTAAAAATAATATAAAAAGTTAAATATTAAATTTTAATATCGTTTGTACAATTTTGCTTAGTCTTATAACTTTCTATGCAATATAACATCGTTAACATACGGCTTTATATTTTTTTTGTCATATTTTTGAATATTTATGATAATATTTACATTATATTATTCTGATGTCTTTAAAAAAATATTTGCAGGAGCAAGTTGTACAACTATGATTTGTGGAGAGAATGAATACTGCAAGACCGAAAATGGTGCGCCAAAATGTGTGAAAAAATCTACAGGATTAGGTGAGTTTTCACAATTTCTTTTCTTATTTGGCATAAAATACTCGACACATTGCGAGCATGAAGACGTAAAAGCGGCGTAAATTGAAATTTGCATGAAACGCATGATGAAATCGCGACTCGTTAGATAAAGGCGAGATCAATTTATTGTGGTATCTCAAAGTTTTCGTGTTCATGAAAGAATGATGGGCCTTCATAATTGCAGAAGCCATATATTTCATAGCATGTGCAAAGTTGGAATGAGGAAGGCATGATTCCTCAGAAAAAATGTCGTGAGAAAAAATATATCTATTATTAAAAATTATTAAAAATATTCTACATTGTTTATTGCAAGTCATATCTTTATTGAGTCATATTTCTCATTACTTAAAGAATATGTTGTTTTATTTTAATTTGAACTTCTATGAATTCCAAGAATTATCTGACCCATTAAATAGGTTTTTGATAAAAAAATATTTGTGATTTATATTTATCATTATTTAAGTATTTTTATATATATGAGAGATATACTAAATTCTCTTAACTATTAACTATTTTATTAATTTTATTAATTAATTTACATATTTCCAATTACTATATATTTATGGATTATATGCATGGAAATCATACAATAACAATATATAATATAAACAGAATAACTGTTATCTTTTACGTTAATATAATATATTTATAAAATATTTTTTTCCTTCTAAATTTTCTATATTACTTTGTCAGAAAGATTAGATTTAACGTAATAGTTGTTTTTGTATTGAATCAAGAAACTTTAGCCATAAAAAATGTTGTCTTGGTTTTATTAAGATTTATTGAATTTTATTACAATTTATTTTTTCACAAATAATTCATTTTTAATCCATATTATATTTGAAAAAAATAAAATATATTAATAGAGAATATTATTTTTACTCAAAATAATAGTTTAAAATGATTTTTTTAATTAATTACGTGTCGAATATATAACAAATATATATGAATTATAAATAGATTATGATATTTCTGATATTAATGTGATAGTTTAGCTAATCTTCACGTGTATTATAACGTGAGTTTGCTGTCTGGGTAAACTAGTCATATGTAATACATGAAGAAAGCACTCAGTTGTTTTATATATACTTTCTTTTAAAGAAAGAAGAAATGTCTCATATTTAAATATAAATATAAATTTAGAATTGCTTTAAAAATATTTATGCTCTAAGAAAGACGAACACATATACGCACTTATTTTATTTTCTACCTTCTTATCATCTTAAGTATATCTTTCAAATAAAGACATGTTCTGATATCATCCTTGCTCAATCCAAACTCGAGAGCAAAATGAGTAAGATAAAATAATCGGAACGTTAACGAAGGCTGAATAATGAGGCTGAAAACTTCGTCGCGAACCTGACCATCATTTTGCAATGTCTCGTGTAATCGCACTGAAATTCGCACGAAAAAAATACGCACAGCACGAAGCAAAATGGGCATCTTGCAGGCTACGAGTCGGCTGGTGTTTCCTATGTGAACGGTGAACGAGTCAGCGGGAATAACGCGAATTCCAATGGAAATCCGTACGCGAACGCCAACGCACCTCCCCCAGAGCCACCGTATCCGTCCAATGTTGACCACAGGGACCATCATCAATCCTCTTACGGTAGCAATTTAGGATATCCGCCGTATCCTAACAACGCCGGCTCTTCCGCGAGCGGATATCCACCTCAGACCAATCAAGCCGGTCGTCATCAGGACTTGGGATATCCGCCGTATCCAACTCAAAACAGGATGCCCATGCCAGGACAGCCAATGTATCCGCAGCAAAACGCTGGATATCCACCGCAACAGAATTATCCGCAGCAAAATGCTGGATATCCACCACAACATAATTATCCGCAGCAATATCCGGGACAAAACCATCCTTATCAAAATTATCCCAATCAACCCCAACGTGGCTACAACCATCCGAATTCAATTTATCGCAAGAATGCCGCGTCAGTCGGAACAATCGCCTCTATGATTCTCGTCGGATTCTCTGGGTTATTTCCTTTTCTTTTGACGAGGTGGTGATTTAGCATTCAGAAAGTTCATGTCATGTTTTATTTCGTGTTTTATCGTGTATCATTATCGTTGCGTTATTCTCGATCCTATTTTCAAAATGTAGTCCATGACTATTTACCAGGAAAAATACTATAGGAAATATAAATTTTTGTACAGGTATTTTATAATATAAATATATATAAATCAAGCGCGAATAATATCCTGCAAACACGTATAGTTTTATATAATCTTCTGTCTTATATTATATTTGTGAATGTAATATATATTTTCATTATGTACATTTGGAGCTATTTATAAATTGAACTTATTGATTATAATTAATTATAAAATTTAGAGAAAGAAATTTATTCCTTTTTAATTTATTTTATGAGAAAAGAAATATCTCTTCGCTTGTAATTTATTACCAATGATCACATACACATAAAATAGAAACTACTAAATCAAATATAGCAATCGAACAATAAAATTCTATGAAATATAATTTTCATAATTATATGTGCATACTTGCAATTTTTATAAAAAGTACTTTTAGAATCAGATTTTTAATAAATTACACTCTCTATTTCTTCATTTCATCGTATTGGCGATTTCAAATGCTTTATAAATGATTTTTATTCAAGATGTAATAAACATTTTACAAATAAACGGGTTATCAACTTGAACCTTGACATATGTTATCTTATGCTCCATACAGCGCATAAATGACTTATTTAAGTCATTTATGCGTTGTATGGCATATAAGATAATATAATTATTACGTCTTATTGTATCGTATCATTTCTCGTATCATTTAAGCTAATCGATTACAACACATCGTACAATTATTCATATAGAAGGCGTATATTTATTACATCTTTATTGTGTTATTTAATTAATTTTTTAACGATTCTAATGAATTAATAGAAATATTTTTTATTATATAATTATGATATTTCTGTAAGCAATTATATCATTAACTAAAATAAATTCAAAAATTTTTAAATAAATTTTTTTCTTTCTCCGAAGAACTAGAGAGTTGTCAGTTAACAAATTCTTTTATGTAAAAAATTTATATGAAATATTAACAATTTGAATTTATTTGTGTGTTTAAATATACTCTTTTATTTTTTCAGGTATTTATAATAATTGAAATTAGTAAACTAATCTATTAATTTGATTTGGTATGACTTTAACTTAAAATAAGAGGGTTTTTATAAACAAGATTATATGTCCGAGAGAAGTCATTCAAAATTAATTTATTAAAAAATCTTATTGAAATTTGATTAAAAATCTTATTGTGTGGAATCTTATTAAAATTATTTTATATATTATATATTTATAAGCAAAGTTTTAAAATGAGCTTAACATAACATTGGTTGTGTGAATTATTTGTATTTATAGATCAAATGATCTTATTTTAATAAATCAATTTTATGAAATTGAAAAACGAATTTATATAATGTGTTTTGAAATTGAGAAGAAATAGAGAGAGAGAGAAAGAGAAATCAAATATTTCACAGTGAAATAGACTAAAAAAGAGAAATGTTAATGAAAGTATTTATTTTTAAGACCGAGACTTGCATGTCGATGCTCCAATTAAAAAAAACCATTATAATTTTCTTTATTTATAAATGGAGACCAACTAATTGCCTTATATGCAAATCCATTTAAACAATATATACCAATTATTGTAGCAAAAGCTGAATAGACAGCGCTGCTCGTGTGAATTAATACACGTGAAGAAAATGTATTCGCTTGTAATATCTTTTATGCATATGTATTATATACATATTCATTATAAATTTGTTGTAATATAGCTCCATCGTTCCTTTTGTAAAAACAAAATGTAAAAAGCAAACAATTATAGAAGTTATTAAGAATAATATAATAACCGTACGATTTATGTATCACGTCTATTATCTTGTTACAAGGAACAGTCAGTTAATAACTAGCAGAGATTTTAACACAAAAGAATTTGCCTTTTGTATTAGTCCCTTTTTTCATCGTGTGATTCAACAGCATTGCCTCCGGGATTAGACCAAGTATCACATCGAACGACACCAAGAACTCCACCATCGCCGCCGCCTAGATCTTCGTCATATGGGGGAAGATATAGCGGTCACTCCGGCTCCAGGAATACCATAGGTGGCGGTTCCATCTTATCATATCGAACGACACCAAGAGCTTCACCATCGCCTCCACCTAGATCTTCGTCACTCGGGGGAAGATTTAACGGCCACTCCGGCTCCAGGAATAGCATAGGTGACGGTTCCATTTTCAATCGTCTGTTTGGCGATGACCGTCCTCGACCTACCAGCAGAATTCAGCTTCATCCAACAAGGAATAATTATTATCAGACTCATACTCACGTGGATAGTAATGGAAACAGAGTTTGGACATTTTCTGGCTAAAAGTCATTTATCCTTTATCTATACTAATTATCTATACTAATAATGTTAATGTAAAACGGGTGCCAATTGATATTTACATCATTTACATATATGAGATTATATAACTAGTCTTGTTATAATAGAGACAGTACATGTAATATACTAACTGCAAATAATTGAAATAAATATTCATTTATATATGATTTAATAAATGAAATTTTTGCATATTTCTATAACATTGTGATTGCAGTTTTGATCTGCTAGAAATTATAGTTTCTATAAACTGATTGATTCGATTTCTATAAACTGATTGATTCGATATTTAAGTATCGTATATTTAAGTTAAATCGAACTTTCAATTAAATTAGAATTAATTAATTAAATAATTTATTTCCAGAAAATGTATATTTTCCTAGAAGAAGATAAGACAAAATTTTTTTACCTTAAGTAGCCAAAATATGTAAAATTATAAATAATTTTGATTTAAAATATAAATTTAAAATATAAATTTTGATGATTTTTTAAAAATTAAACTTTTTTTATAGATTATTTATAGAAAGAGCTGTCTCACAATATTAGCAATACAATTGGATGCAATTTCAGTTATTTTCATAAATTTAATTCAAAGTTTAAGGCCCATGTAATTTTGCTAAAATCAATCGCGTTGATGAAATAAATTTTATGGAAATTATATCGATATTTTAGCTAAATCAGTTTAATTATTCGATTATTACTTAAGCAATATGCACGCATAGTTTTGCGCATTGCATGTGCATACAAGAATTGTTATATCATTGTTATTGTCCAGCAACTTTTCTCAAAGAAGAAATATTTTTTTAACAATCTAATAGAACTTGCAAACATTTTCGATTCTAAGTAAAAATATATTTTCATTATAGGATATCTTCTCACGCTTTATAATCTCCATTAACTATCCGTTACTTTTTATCACAGTAAATTTTTATAATATTTTTATTCGAAATTTCTCTCTCTCTCTCTCTCTCTCTCTTTCTTGCGCAATAAGACCGGAAATCGAAGCTAGATTTTGTTGTATTTTTTAAGTAAATGCTTTTTACTCAGAGCTTTGCCTCACAAATATAATATCTATTTATTTAATGTTTTATCTGTTGCATTTTTGTATGTTGCATCTGTTTATTTAACATGTTTTGTAAAATACGTTCGCAATGCATGTGGTTGTACAAATCACGCATATATGCATGATAGATATCAAGCTTAATAAAAATAATGTTTCTTTACAAAGATATAATTTTATACGATTAAATAATTTATTAACATTTAATTTTAAATATTAATAATTATATATTTTAAATATTAAGTATTATATTATTATTCTTACTATTATTATCTTACTATTATATATTATTATTATTAATATTATTATTATTATTATTATTATTATTATCATCATCATCATCATCATATATTATTATGCAGAGGACGAAATTGAGACACGAATAGTTTCAAAACGAGAAACTGGTCATCAAACAGAAGCAGAAATACGTGATTCTTCAGATACTTCTAAAAATTCGAACAGCCAAACTACTAAATCTTCTGGATATCCATCTGGCTCTGGATATCCTAGTAATAGTGGTTACCCAAGTTACGGATCTTCTGATTCAACGTCGACGAATCAACCCCGATCTGGTTATCCATCTAGTGGATCATCTGGTTATCCATCCAGCGGATCATCCGGTTATCCATCCAGAGGATCATCCGGTTATCCGTCCAGCGGATCATCCGGTTATCCGTCCAGCGGATCATCCGGTTATCCGTCCAGTGGATCATCCGGTTATCCATCCAGCGGATCATCCGGTTATCCGTCCAGCGGATCATCCGGTTATCCGTCCAGCGGATCATCCGGTTATCCGTCCAGCGGATCATCCGGTTATCCATCTAGTGGATCATCTGGTTATCCATCCAGCGGATCATCCGGTTATCCGTCCAGAGGATCATCCGGTTATCCGTCTAGTGGATCGTCCGGTTATCCTTCCAGTGGATCGTCCGGTTATCCTTCCAGTGGATCATCCGGTTATCCATCCAGAGGCAGTTCTGGTTATCCGAGATCTGGTTATCCAAGCAGCGATTCTTCGAGATATCCGGATAATTCTGGAAACGAACAAACTGTTAGACGAACTGATGCTAGTACTGTAAATGCTGGCTATCCCAGCAATTCACAGTCATCAGTATATCCGGAAAGAAATCCGTCATATCGCGATAATTATCCGTCTCAAAATGCAGGATATCCTCCTTCAGGGAATCCATATAATAATCAACGTCCTCCGTATGCAAATCAAGGATATCCACAAGGTTCTCCTCAAGGTTATCCACAAGGTTATCCACAAGGATATCCACAAGGTTATCCACAAGGATATCCACAAGGTTATCCACAAGGAGGACGTTATCCTGAAGGTTATTATCAAAATTATATAACCACTACTAAACGTCCTGGTATACAAGATCAACTGACGAATTTTGCTCGAAACATGGCACAGAAGGTGCTAACGCAAACGATAATAGATCGTGTCACTGGAAGACATCAATAAAGCTGATAGTACTAAAATCTTTTATTTTAAAATCATAGAAATATTTCAAAATATAGCTTTTTTGCCATTAACTGCTGGACAGTAAGTTGTTTAATTGTATGCTAAATAATATGTCTTTCTTTTATTGCGAGTGAATTTTAATAAAAAATCTATTAGTGCATAATTATAATATAAAATAAGCATAATTATATTATTTGCAGTTTATGTATTTCAATTCGAAAGTTAAATTATTTTATATATTTTTCACTAAATCCCGTACTCGCACGGATATCTTTATTTTCTTTTTTTCAATTTATATATCTATACGATATAAAAAGCAATTATATTACTCATTCTATATATAACTAAACAAATTTTGATTAATTAACATTATATAATTATAACGTAGATAATTAAAATAAATCGATGTTTATCGCGTTATTTGTCTGGTGCCATTAAATATTATTTAGTTGCGCTTTATCGCATTTTCTATATTTTAAATATATGTATAATAAAACGAGACTTATGTTGTTAGAATTTAGAGAAAAAGAGTACGAAGAATATACAGGAAAAGTAAAGATCACAATAGATAGTACTAAAATCTTGTTCTCTATGAAATCTATATAAAAATGTTCTAAATTGTGGAATTCTTTATCATTAATTATCAAATAAATAATTTGATTGTAAAATAAATGTGTGCCAAATATGTACTTTCTTTCTTTTATTGCGAATTAATTTTCATTAAGAAATCTATTAAGTATGCAGTCATATTATTTGCAATTTATACATTTTGCGACAATTCAAAAGTGAAATTATCTATAGATAAGCTCTTTACTCTTCCCCTTGAGCTTATTATATCATCACATACAATACAATACATATACGCCAAAAACTGGACCTGGCCATATGTGACCCTTTACATTCTAATAACCCTTCTCTCCCTCACGCCTATCCTTTGCTTTCCTCCTGAATTCCTCTTCTTTTCTTTCCCTAAAACTCCTTTTTTCCTTCTCCCTCTTGCTCTTCCTCTTCTTTCTATTTTTTTCTCCATTCCTGGGGGAAAGGAGTGACTCTTTCTACCTTTCATTCTTAAGTATATAGGTTAAGAAAGCATGCATCTTCTTCTCCCTTCTTCCTTCTAAATCCCAATTATCATTAGTTCATTTTCTTCCTTTTCGATCAACTTCTTAACTGTAACAAAGAATTTGTTTTACTTTTCATTATTTTCTTACAACCCAACTTCTCCTACCACGTTTTCCTTCCCCATCCTTTTCTCTTAATCTGTCTACTTCTTTCTGCTCTCACCTCCTCTTTTATTTTCTTCCTTCCTTATCCTCGCCTCAAACTCCTCTATTTCTTCTAAATCTTCTATTTCTTACTTCCCTTCTCTCATCTTCACTCTCTCCTTTCCATCTACATTTTCCTACTGCTAACAATTACGCTTTTCCCTTTTGCCTTTTCTAATTTTCCTCTTTTTAATATCCTCCATTTAATCTTCCTTTTCTCCATAATTAAATCCTCGTTCACGTGTACTGCTCTGCTTTACTCTTGTATCTCAGTCTTATACTCACATATATGCATGAAAATTTTGCGCAAAATCATTTTTACTACCTTCTAAACTCATTTCTGAAAATTCATTTATATTCTTTCATGTAATCTCGAAGAGGAAATTATCTTATTTTATGCATATAAACACGATTTTTATATTAAGCAAGTATTGTTATGACTTGACGCTAAAAAACTAATTTTTCAATTTTTTTTTGTTTTTAACATACAACCGAGAGGTTCCTGTTTTATTTCTATGTATACTTTAATCGTGGAGAAACGTTTATTATTATGTATAATCAATAAAAGGATTTCGGTGCGCACAATGATAATCGTTTTAATCGATAAAAAACAGAGTAGTCCAGCATCCTTTTAAGCCCTTTCGTGGCTTTCCAAAGCGAATAGTCTGTATTTTTGTCGGCAGACAAGTTCTGTAAGTATAAATTTATTACATTATTTTTAATTTCTTTAATTCTTACTTTCAGCTTATTACTCAGTCAATTTACCTCCGTTTTGTGCTGCGGTGCTCTGCTCTGTTACCATTTTTTCCGTATTTTCCTTTTCTCGTTAACCATCTGCCATATTTCGATTGGATAGATGATATTGTTTTTGTTATTCTTAGTTGTGCTTATAGGAGTGTTATTCCATGCTGCTTGTTGTAGATCAGTAATGAATAACTCTACTTCCCTTTCTAACTGTTCGGGTGATTTAAGCGATACCTTTAGGTTGGTGACGCTTTCGAGTTCCGCTCTGAAACCGTCCCAGTCAGTTTTTTTGTTTGTTAGTTTAGGTGTTTTTTCTTCTTGTAACAGCGTTTCATTTATTGTCATAATAACCGGGGAGTGATCCGAAATAAGATCACTACTTTCATCCATCCCTATATTGTTAAAAAACATATAACAAAGCGTTTTCTTTTATCTGTAATGAATATTTTGCTTATCAATTTTTTTATTATATACATTTTTCTCATTTATTTTTGCTAACGTTCGAGGATAAACGAAAAATCAGAATAGCCGAAAATCTGTAAGCGCGATTCAAGGAATATCGAAAAATTGATCGATGTGATCTAAGAAATAAGAGCTTAGAAATGAGAAGTTATCGATATGGACTTTTTTTGAAAATTTCGGAACTAAAGCGAAGCTCATCGAAGCAGCAGTTAGCGAAGGACTGTCTAACAGTTGATCGTATACGAGCAAAGGTCTTTGTACTTCGAGAAATTATATCGAGTTTTTTTTTTGTTACGCGATTTAGTGCGGATTAAATTTTCGTTTTTGCTGATCTTAATAAAACTTATTTTACTTCTTGTTTCTGTGAACTGCGTGTAATAGACTGACTCTCAAAGCCATCCTACTTCCTACATCCATACTTCCTAAAAAAAAAAAGAGAGAAGAAGAGAGCAGAACAAGTAAGCGAGCTTACAGGAATAATTAAGTTTTTAGTTGTTAGACAGCTCTTTGATCATAAAATTACCCCTTCAATTTTGTTACAGTTTTCATCGATTTTTTCGCTTTTCTAAATTTGGCTTATGATTTGAAAACCGCAAATATTAATATAGTGAAGAAACGTATTCTTCAAAATGACCAAATATTCAGCGCTGCAAAATAAAATGAAGAAAAGAATGTGTATTATTATCATAATAAGCGATGATATAAGTCAGGGCCGCCGTCACATGCGGTGTAACTTGCGTAACTTGCGTATTCTAGTAATTTTTAATTGAAGTTATGTCATTTTGAAAGTCGACTTTTACATGAGGCGTATTATGCGGAATGCGTAACAAATACAACCAATTGTGGATTATATTTTCCGTTGTACACTCTAATAAAAATGCTAAAAAAATTTGTGATTGGTTTTTGTAACGCGTTTCGAAAAGTACGCATCATGAGGAACCGATGCTCTGCATACAAATATGTGTAAAGCGGAATGTATGCAATATTTATAAAGTTAAAAAGATTGAAATATATATTTACTTCAACTTTTTTAACTTTAAAACAGTACATGTATTCTTGAAGCTACGTTAAGAACGATCGATGGTACCAGGCTTACTATTCAAAAAAATATTAATTAAATCTATTATTAATCTAATAATTAGAAATTTCTTGATTCATTAACGTTCTAGATGAATAATGTCAGATGGTATCTTAATAACATTTTAATGACATTCGATAATTCGTCATTAAGAGGTTTTGTAGACGCGTAGGTAATTAGAATAGGTAATTAAAATAAATCAATAATCTCAGTATAAACATTGTTTGTTGCAATAATATAATGATTAACAAATGATATAACAAGTTACCTATAAGATATAGAATTAATATGTGTTTCATACGTATTTCATTTTGCAACAAGTATATATTTTTCTTCACTTTATTTTGTCAATTTAATTTCTAATATGATTCAAAATTTTAAATGATTTTAGATGATTTGAAATTGAGCAGATAAATATGTAAAATAGTCCGTTTATATATACATGTATAAAACAACCTATTTGAAGCAAAAAATCGAAATTTCTATATAAATTGTGTGCATCCACAAGCACAACCGCTCACTGAGTGACTAAGTAGCAATTGAATATGATTGGTTTCTACGTTTGAATTCACATTCGATTGCTACTTAGTCGCTCAGTGAGCGGTTGTGCTTCTGGATGCACCCATTAAATCTTGAATTTTATAAATATTTAATTTATAGAATTCATAGAATTCAGAAAATGTTAATGTATTAATTTATTTTATAATATTCATCGAATTTATTTTAATTACCTACTTTATATATGACCAATATTCTATACGAATTAACTTTATATTGTATAAATATATAATGTAATAACGATGTAACATATATATTACATGTTACATTTATGAATGAGAAATTACAATTAAATAAAAGTGACTTGTCGATAATACTTATGTATATTATTTGCAATAATAATTCCGTTTTATTGCTTTCATATAACAATGTTTATTGAATATATCTACTGCATTATATTAGTTTTTAGCGCTATTAAGCTAACATTACATTCGTTGTACGACAAATTTTTTAAACATATTAATTGGCTACAGAATAGAAAGTTTCTGAAGAATCAAAAAATTACTATCCCGCAGCTAATCAATGTGCTTAAAAAATTTATCGTACAACAAATGTAATATTAGCCTTAAATGTTGTTCAATTGAGCATTTTCCATGCCTCAAAATGTAAAAAAATAGTTAACGATAGTCTTATTATTACTAAAATTTATAATTAATGAAAAAGGAAAAAGTACAAGAACACACGAAAAAAAATAAAGACCGCGTGCGAAACAGAAATGATTTCGCGCCGATGATGAGATCTCGATATCTCGCACCCCTCGATGTCTCAAGTTGTCACGTGGTTGTCAGATGCGAACACGTGACCGCAGTTGTCAGTGCGCAAGGGCGGCCGATAACGGGTGTCGATGTTACGAGCGCGGTGTTTCCACAGCAGAATTTTCACGTGACAACCCGAGGAAACGCGCGGGAAGTTAACATTACGACGATGTGAAACGAGACGATTCCACGGGATCTCGACGAAAACGCGACAAAAGCCTCTCTCGTTTCGAACACCCATTATATCCTGGGCGCCACCGAAATGCCGAGCAAGGGAGAGGAGAACTTTTGCAAGAAAATGGCAAGATCCACCAGAGGAGTTCACGCGATCAGCGATGCTCTGGTGAACGCGAAATTGGCATTCGGTAAAAATCGCAGCAAGTTTCCTTGGAACGTTGTAAATTTTGGAGTTTTAATTTGGATGCGTCAGCATTAATTGTATCATACTTGACTGCGCACTATCGAGACAAAAGATTTGACGAGATGATAAAAGTATCATAAACATTTGCTTTTTTTATCTTATTGTTAGTTTAGCTTTCTTATTTCTATTCTTATGTTGCCTGTAATTTTCAGCAATTATTACTTATTTTTAAAAATCTTTCACAAGTCTTGACAAATGTATCGACAGTGTATATAAATAATAAAGACCTGATTACTTGACATTGAGTGATTACATAAATGCTTTAAATATTATGTAGATTTATATTTGCATGCGTCTATCACAGCAAAGAAAATTATTCTTATTATAATTGTTACTTGTTTATTGCGATGACTATAATCCCAGCTTTGTATTACGGTCTTATATACTCCAACTAGGGTTTCTCGATGATTCTGTATGGGCTGATGGGCTTCTGGTTTTCTACGAGGTCTTTCGCTATCTAGAGGGTGCAATGATTAGATTAAGGAACACCAAAATTGGATTGCTTCCACTCAGCGAGCTTCAACGTACAGAAGCTTTTGAGCGGGATCTTGATCATTACTTGGGGAAAGAGTGGAGGAAGAATTATAGTCCTAGGTATACATCATGTATGATACAATACATATGCAATTATGAAAACATAATTTGTTTTCTTCCATTTACAATACAATAATACAAATGTCAGTCTTTCACAATAGTTGATAATAGTTTAACTATTATAAAAAAAAATATTTTAAATATTTTAATTTCACTGTTTCACAAATAATTTCACTGTTTCAGAGATAGCGTCACCAAATATCTGATGCGTTTGAGAGAAATAGAAGATACGGATCCTACTCTATTAATGGCATACATTTATCATCTTTACATGGGTCTTCTTAGCGGCGGTATTATTCTGCGCAAAAAGCGGCAGCTCATGCAAAAGATCTCGCCTTTTAAAGCATCACCATCGAATGATGGTAATAGCATTACAGATTTTGGACAAAACAGTATATTTCAATTGAAGAGCGATTTACGCGAATCCATGAATAGAATCGCGGAGACATTAGACGAGGACACAAAAAATAAACTTATCGAAGAAAGTAAAATAGTCTTTGAATTGAATAACGAAATTGTTAAAAGTGTGCAGACCGGAAATCACGTCTTTGAAAAAGTACTCTATTTTATCGGTCAAATTGTGCTAATACTCTGTATCTTGATAATCGTCCTCAATATTCTCTTCAAATACATCATACGTTAATAAATGTTACTTTAATGCTAATTTAACGTCAATTCGCTAAAAAAAAAGAAAAGAAAGACTATAACAATTTCAGCAAGTGCTGATATCAAAACCAAAATGTACAATATATTATTTATGCGCTGTAATCGCCTTTCTATAGTTATATAATTTCTATTATAAATGGATTATCACTATTATTTGTATGACATGATTTAAGAAACCTGTTTCTTAAAGTTGTTTTATCATACTGAAAATACTAAATTACCAAGATTTGGATAAAAAGCAACAAATTCTACTCCAAATCTCAAATAGAAGATGCTTTTAAAATCTTATGCGCGATATCCATGAACAAAAGCAACATCTTTTTGCTTCTTTCCGAGAGATTTTTTTCGTAATCAGTTTACATATATCAAATTCAAAGTGCATGAATTTGTATTTGTCATCATCTTACAGCCTTGCAGGATAGAGGCTTATGATCAGATAATATATATACAGTATGTATATAAAGTAATGAAAGTATATACAATAGAGATCAAAAATTGAAACTAATTCAAATTTAAATCGATATTAGAAGTAACTGAGTATATTGAATGATAATTAGAAATAACGACACGTTTTAAACGTGCAATAACTTCTCATAATCTGCAGAAATAGAAAGTTCCTGCTCTCCTAGATTAATATCTACACTTCTACTTTGATAATCCATTTTTCCGTGAATTATTATATACATAGCGATTCCAGAGTATTCATTATTTCTTGTCTATCAAATTTAAAGTTCGTCCAACTCTCTAGGGGAAAATCAGCAGCAAAAGCATCTTGATAATCTATATAATTCTTCGTTAAAAACGGTGAACCATCGTGTTCCAGATTTACAAAAGAAAGCGGCGAGATGATTGTAAAATCTTTTTGCAATTTGCGTGCGGCTTCTCCAAATAATAACGCCTTGATATTTCCTTCTGGTAGGCTTTTCTTGCGACAATCTGGATAAAAACAATTTTCATGCAGTACTAATAATAATATCGAGGATTGTTATTGAAATATATATTAGAAGGAGTAAGCATATTATTTATATAATTTAGATATTAAATTATTTATAACATATATTCTTCTAAGCGGGATTTTAAGCTAAATAGAAGAGAGATCATCTTTAACTAGTGAGTTACCTTTTACTTCTTCCCAAGATTGCGCTTTGTGATTTAAATCGTACTTGATCGACTGGATCGCAGGATCAATTAAAAATGAGCACGATTGAGCGGGACTGTCTATCAAGTGTCTAGCGAGACCCTGCGATTGAATTTCTTCGTGATCTCCAAATAGATTGCGTTTAAAAGCTGCTTTCGACAGAATGTCCTTCTTATTGTCACTTATACCGCGACGATTACGAGCTGGAGAGATGTTTGATTGACGGCTAATCTTAAAGTCTGGAACTTCACTCTGTAAACGAAGCGAGAATTAATCTATAGAACATAAAATGAGAAATAAAGATACGTGAAAGACCTACTTGTGATGGACAAGTAGAAAAATGATGGAAAAGTGTTTGTTGTCGTTTGCTCTTCGAAACTGTCTCGACTTCTCCCAACGATTTATGCCTTTGTCTTCGAACGGTAGTCATAGTGGCGTTTCTTATACGTTGCTGTTTCTCTTGAATCCACCGCTTCATTCGTCTGGATAAGAGAAAGAGCAATATTAATAAATAAATTCAAATAGGAAATAGGCTGAGATTAGAGCAAAGTGTAGTAATTAAGGCACTAAAAAATTAATTATTTTTTTGAGAATTATTTATTTGTCAAATGACTCTCTCTTGGATTATTTTCAATAAAATTTTTTTTTACTCAAAATGAACTGAAACAAAAATCCTGCAAAAGAGGATTGAAATAATTTTTGACAATTAAAAAAATTAATTTCTTAATTATTGCACTTGATTCTCATTAGCTTTCTTATTTGAATTTATTTACTTATTTATTATATTATGTATAAAACTTTTCGTTGTTTATTTATTGTTAAAATACATATGTAACAATTTTTCAATAAATATGAATTTTATATAACTTACTTTACAAATGGTACAACCATGAAAAATGCATTTGGACCAACGCCAATTTTCACCTTAGGAGTCATATCTTTCTTTGTATTAGGCAAGTCTACCACAGAAAACCATTCAACATTCTTTATTTCCTTCCGCGTTTTCGGCTGGAACTTTGTATCCTTCTGCACACCCGAGATGATATACAGTCTCACTACTTGATCATTTATTACGGACTCAATATATTCGTTTTTATCTATCAGATTAGATATATCGAAACCAGTCTCCTCCAACACTTCTCGAATAGCGCAAAGAAAAGGCTCCTCGTCCTCGTTTACTTTTCCTTTAGGGAAACTCCAGCTGTTCTTTGCCCAGTAGCTCTGCACCAGCAGCACCTTGGTCATGTCCTCATTTAACACAATCGCTCCAAATGTTGGCACATTCTGCTTATACTCTCTCCACTGTTCGAGAACAGCATCAATGTGCTGCACATGTGGCTTCAGAAAAGGTATGTGCTGGAATATATGAGTGGCGAATTCTTTCATATTACATGATCTCAGTTTAGGATTCTCCTCCGTGCAGTAGAAATCCAAGTAAAACCAATGGGCCAATTCAATTTGAAAGCATATTCGCACCAAGTCCTTCCTCTCTTCCTCAGGGACATTAATGATGAATCGACTGCAAGGGAAAAGTTAAAACAAGAATGATGTATCTATAAATTCTGATTGTACTCTGAAAATACATACGATTAAACTATGTCAGTGTTATTATAAGCTAAGATTCTACAGGAACTAACCTGCTGAGATCGTCAAGGATGTCAGATGGAATTGTGTGCTCCATTATTTCAATGGACCTTATTTATCAATTAATTGATATTTTTAACATGTGATTATGCAAGGATAAGAACCAAAAGTGTGACATTATTGTACCAAAGGTTCATCCCAGATGCAGACATGAAAATGAAAATAAAAAATTACGTGCCAAAAGTATAAAAAATATTGAAGTTTTGTTTAAACATAATTATATGTAATAATAATTATAAAGTGTAAATATTATAAAGTTTTTGTTTAAACATAATTACATGTAATAATAATTACAAATAACAATAATTATAATAAATTAAATTGTAATAATTACCAGAGAGAAGACTGAGAGGTGTCATGGCCCGCTTTTGGGTGATCCCTGAAAGCGATACGCCCTCTGTTAATCTAAAAAACGTGGACATGAACTACAAAGCCATGTCCGCGAAAGTTCTCAGAGGATAACATATAATGTGCACAATTTCTGGTTCTGTTCCGTGCTATGTGCACAAAATGGCGGTAGCACCAGTGCTGTATAGCAATTTTTAATTTTAATTTTTTAAATAAATTTTGTGGTCCTCTCTCTCTCCCCCTCTCTCTCTCTCTCTCTACACATACACAAATAAACACACACACACACATATAATATATATATATATATATATATATATATATATATATGTATATATAGTATGACGCTACAACTTTATTCTGAAATATTTGCGTTATGTTTAGAAATATATATATATATATATATATATATATATATATATATATATATTCGAAAAATATAGATGTTGCAAAATATTTTAAATATCTCTTTCTTTATATAAAATATAAAGAATTTATATGTTCTATTCTAATATAGTCAACATTATTTATATACTTTTATTATAATTTTCTTACCAGCATAATATTTTTATGCTTAATATTTTATATAATATAATGTACTAAATTATAAAATTTAATATACAAAATATTACAAAATAGTATTATTATTAATAAATAGATTGCACACTGTCTTTTAGTTTCTAATTATTTTCAATCATTATGCATTTCTATCCAATAGAAATCTCCTCTTCTTCGAGTTCTTGGATTATTATGGTTTATTGTATTCTTTTGTGTTAAAATTATAAAAATTATCATCATTTGTGTCATGCTTATTCCTTCCTATGGAGTCCATCGAAATACTTTTTATTTGTTCTCAGGTATAGATATTCAAATCACTGTAGTTGCCTTTTTCTCGATTATTCCCTTTTTCTTTCATTTTATTTAAAAATATTAATATAATTAATATAACAAATATTTATATAATTTTGGTATTTCTCTTAGTCTGACATTTCCCCTTCGACATGTCCGGCATAGACGCTATCAATAACTACGATCGGTATTCATTACTCACTTTTATATTTAAGATCATACTTAAAATTATCTTAAATATAAGAAAAGTCTATACGAATATCGGTGTATGTTACCGCCGGCATAGCTCTCAGGCTCATTAAAATACTCAAACCTCCTCAGCCGGCAAATGCCTTCCTTAAGATGGAGATATCATCGAGAAGGCAAAATTTTTCATTTTCTTTCACTACAGAATTTAATACAAAAAGTTAATGTAAAATATCATATTATATAATTTGAAATGTAATACAAAATAAATTAACAATCCTTTTTTTTTTTACGTGGGGAAAAAAAACTCTCTTAGAAAATACTCAAAAAATATTGATCTCTTAAAAATTCTTAATATTAATAATATAATTATTGAAATATTTATTAATTTGTTTTCCCTAATATTATTTAAACTTACATTTCCTGATTCTTTAAAAGATACATAATATAAAATCAGCTAAATTAATCACATAATAGCCCTAACAATCCTTTACTTTTTGAAAGGAAAATTAAAAAATCTTAATGATCACCTAATAGCCCTAACAATCCTATTTCTCGATTAAATGAAATTATTCGAGGAAAGCCTATCTCTAATCACGTATACTTTAATTACGTGCTCTAATTACATTCTCTAACCGCATGCCCTAACCGCGTGAATAAATGTCCGATATTACGTACTATTGTACGTAAAGCTTTTCTTCAGGCCAGTTGAACTTACTTTTCGTTGATCCTGGCCACTTTCTCGCTCGATCTCTAATCAGAGATCGAAAAAGGAGATAAACACTCCTTCTTTTGCCGATTAATTACCGGCAAATGAGCGTAAATATTTCACGCTCATCGTAACGATCGCTCGATTTTACGATCGTTTGTTAAATATTTGAATATAACTTTATTTTAACTCAAATAAAGCCAAATTACAACAAATTTCTATATACTATATCTTCTAATAAAATATAAAATTCATGTGTGTGTATAACTTTTATGATATTACAAATTATTTTATTAATTAATCGTTTGGCTTTATTTTAAGTTAAAGTAAAATTTAAAAACAATATCTACAAACAAATTCTACAATGGATGAGCTATGATATAAGAAATTAGAATAAAATAAATGCGCGTTATAAGAATAAAGTAGTATCAAAAATTGATAAAATTGTTAAAATTATTAATGCGTGCTCTTGATTTAATAAACTAGTCAAGTCTTTACAAAAAAAATTTCTTTTCTTGATTCTCTTTTTTAAATTAATACTTCAATATATTTTCGCAATAGATGCAAAGCATTTCGAAAGAATTTATTAAAAGTTATTTAATTTAATCTATCCTAGCTCATCCATTTTAAGGCAACGGACTTACTCTACAATCTACAATCTACAATCTACAATCTACAATCTACATCTACAATCTCTACGAATCCGTTTCCTTAAAGTTAAATAAAAGTTTTTCTCACTCACCGACACTGATGCGCAACAGCGGAGTTATATTTATCGAAGCTACGTTGTCTGTAACATACAAATATAAAATTCATTTATATTAATGCTCACAAAATGCAATAAATATTTCAAAAAATTTTTATCGCGCGGAATTTTATATCCAATGTATAAAATAATAAGCAGAGATAAACACGTGTGGAAAAATTTTATAAAATTTTAAAACTGTTTTTTAAGAAAGTTTTTTAAAAAGTTTTATATAACTTTTATAAAAATCTTTCTCTCTAATTTTCTCTTTAATTCATTTAAATAATAAGATCAAATTATTATGCGTACGATTTATAACAATTGATATATAAATAATAAATATTCACCATCAGGTTGCTCCGCCGATGCAAGATGCCTCTCCCAGGCCTCCTCCTCCTCTCATGTTGTTGACGCGCGATACTTTCAATGGCACTCCCGCACTCACGAGCGATATTTTTATATCGCTATTTTCGTTATTTTACGCGCGATACTAAACGGCACTCCCGCACTAATTCGGTACGATTAAAAATTTTGTCGCGCGATGTATATATTTAATATATATATACTTTGTCCGACACTCCCGGTTTCGGTACGAGCGAAAATCCCATTTCATTTCACGAGAATCAATTTCGAGCCAACAGGTCGGGAATGCAACGATACAACGAGCAAAGATTAGGCCCGAACCGGAAAGGAGACGAAACGATTGACGGAATAGAGGAAAATAAAGTTCACCAGCTCTTTTTCGCGCATAATTATCCTATCTCGTATCGAACCTGGACCCGCTAAGCACGATTTCAAGTGACCCGCACGGATGCTATATCACTAGCGCAGTACACAAGGCTGATAGACGGTAAAAGAAGAGGATACCCACATTTTTTAAAAGCTAACATTCAGCAATTTAGAAAATGGGGAGGCAACCCCTTTTACCGAGCGAAAATCGCGCCTAGGGGAATCCACTCGACTCCTCGACAGGGTTAACACACGCTGGGCGTGTGGCTGTAAAGTAGACGAGCAAAGAGAAGGGACCCATTGACGACCATTCCGAACAATCGATCGAGTTCTAACCGATTCGGGCCAAATCAATTGACGAAGCAGAGCGTGTTCATCACTAAGCCGATCGAGCGCGAAGCTCGAACCCGCGCGCCCATGTACATTTTATACTGGACATACGTTCTGCGCGGCCGGCATCACCAAGTGCCACGTTGCACAAGGCGCGAGTACGTCGCAAAGCAACGACTCGATGAAACATCCCAGTTAGTTGGCGTCGGAAGGAGAGACCCGAAGAAGGAGTTGACAAAAACGAAATTGGGATTTTGAAAACGCGAAAACGCGATAACGCGAGATTACTATAACGCGAAAACGCGGTTACGAAGCGCAGCCGTCCGCGGCACGTTGACGGCACCGACGACGCGAAAGGGTACTTCGCTTCCCTTTCAGGCACCATAAGATTTATCGTAAATAGAAAAATTTAAAATAAATCTCAAGGCACCATCCAAGTACTAAGCCCTCCCACCACGACAAGGTGTACCCCATGGGAGGGTTATATTATATATAATTTTTTTTATATATAATATAATATATTATAATAATTGTAATTAATAAGCTCTCTATAAAAAATAATTAAATGGAGTGAGAGTAAAAGCTCTCAAATCCTTTACTCTCACTCCATTTAATAATATAATATATAATATATAATATAATATATATATAATTTGGAATTTATTTTGAAATATAGTATATAAATTTAAATTTGCATAATAAGATTTCGATTAAATTGTGTATTTAATTAACAAAAATTGAGAAAATTTAAAGCATTGGTTGAAATATATTTAATTCTAATATTATATTCTAATATTATAAAGAAATATTAAAAAAAAATATTATAAAGAATATTATAAAGAATATTATAAAGATATATTATAAAGAAATATTATAATAAGGATCGATGATCAATATATCACAACATAATCTCTTATACTCTTTCATGCATAATCTGTTTCAATTTTTAATCGCAGAAATGAATGATTGTGATTCGATAAAGATTTATCGTTGCATTACAGTTTCATGTAGCTAATTAATTTTTAATTAATTAATTTTTATTAAAATTTATAGTAAATTATGTTTCCATACTAATTGTAATCATGTTTAGTAAAAAAATTATAATATATAAAGCGTTTCTTACCACTACTTTATTACTCGAGAGTCACCGTACAAATGATGACAAAGCGCCATCGTATAGCGCGCTTCTGTTTATATTTTATATTGCCAAAATCAAACATCGTATTATCGATAATTCGTTACCGAAATATTTTATATATTATAAAATATACATTAACGTAAAATATTAAATTATGAAAGTATTTAATTTATTGATTGAAATTGATTATTTATCAAACAATTCACGCAATCTTTTGTTATGCTAATTATTTGCGTCTATAATAAATTCGATTGTTTTACTTCGCGTTCTCTCATATCCCAAATTATATTGAAATTATCAAGTAGAACGATAAAGTAACGTATAAAATATATTTGTAATTCTAAATATTA